TGGTGATGATACTGATGATGGTGATGGTGATGATGATGATGATACTGATGGTGATGATGGTGATGAAGATGATGATACTGATGGTGATGATGATGATGGTGATGATACTGATGATGGTGATGGTTGTGATGATGGTGATGGTGGTGATGATGGTGATGATACTGATGGTGATGATGGTGATGAAGATGATGATACTGATGGTGATGATGATGATGGTGATGATGATGGTGATGATGATGATGGTGATGATGATGGTGATTGAGTTGGGGGTGGTGGTGGTGTTAATCATGATGATGACGAGGAAATTAGATGGACTAAGGTGGATCAATGGTGGTTCTATATAATTTCCCTCACTATTTCTAACTGTTCAAACACTCAATCATAACATAACCAGCTTACCGGTACGTGGGGATATTGTACAACCCCCTCCAATGAAATGGCTGCAATAAATGACAATACGAGGTTAGTGTGAAGCCTCAATACGGGATTAAAATAATGGGAAGTATGTGTGAATGAAAGAGAAATAGAAAGAAATAAAAGGTATTGTAGACCTGTAATATGAAATTTTTTTACGACAAACATAGGGAGTGATTAATGCTGAATCTACAGAGCCAGAGGCTTGTCTAAAGAATTGAAGACAGATCACATTGGAATTTATGAGTTGAACCCAGAGAAAAACCCTTGAAGTTTGCAAGAGAACCAACAAGCGACTCTAAGCACAAATGACACCGACCCTAGGAATCGAATCTGCGTCGCTCTATAAGATGCCACTCATTAGCAGCCCACACCACCAATCCTTTCCTTAATACCCAATGAAGATGACTAAGATGAGAGGTGAAAATATAAAAAATGAAAATGGAATGGGATGGGAAAGGAAATAGAAAAATGTAGAAGGTTTAGAATATAGTCACGATATAATGCACGCTGATTGGTTACTTAGCACATGTAAGCATGCATCCAAAAATCGATGGTGCACGCTGATGTTATTGAGTAGTGCACGCTATGTAATTAATATTTAGTCTGAAAATATTTTGAATTTGTTTTGATCAACCAAATTATTTTTACTCATTTGCCATGTTAGTTTTGGGTGCACTTGATTGGTTGCACGCTTTCTTCATGCTTCACAGCCTCCCATACGCACCCAAAACTTGAAGGAAGCACGCTAATCAATGGCCAATCCTTTATTAGTAACAATATAGATTCATTACCTTGATAGCCAGGTAGTCACAAGTCTTCATCCCAAGGTATGTTCCAAAACCATTACATATCAACACGTCCATTATCCACTACAAGTATGAACAAATATAAAAAAAACTTTCATTTCATATCACCACCTCATTAGCTCAATACGTACACAACTTTTATAACCGGTTGATGCTAATTTGCATAAACGTTAGAAATTAAAGTGCTTATAAGCCTTTACACAATATTTTCAGAATTGATTCTTTAAATAGTGAATAGTTGATTGTGAAGATATTTCGTCACTTGATTATGTCGGGTCTTTGAGATACGAAGGTTTATATTTCCAATATGTAAATGACTATGACGTAACATAAGGGATTTGAGTTATTTCGTGGCAACTTTTAATATTGAACGCTGGACATTTGTTGAAAACAAATTTGTAAGAACCTTTACTTGAGTCATGAGTAAAAGGATAATGCTTTTAAAATACTGTATTCCAGAACGAGTGCAGTGTTGTATATTAAATGATCCCTTATGTTATGTCATAGTCATTAACATATTGGGAAAATAAACCTTTGTATCTCAAAGACCCGACATTAAAATGACAAAATATTTCACAATCAACTATCCACTATCTATAAAGAATCAATTCTGAAAATATTGTGCAAAGGCTTACAATACATTAATTGCAATGACATTTTCTGGTAAAAAGGCCTTATAACTTTTAATCTCTGAATTATGAATGTTGTGTATATGGGTAAGAGCACAGTCTGTTGAGTGTGGGAGGTTGATAATAATAATAATAATGACAATGACAATGACAATGACAATGACAATGACAATGACAATGACAATGACAATGACAATGATGGGATTAACAGTGGATTCCACAGAGTGGCTCTTCTTCCACTGGATTCCAATTGGAATTTAGAAGTTGATTTTTGTGGAGGGAGGAAAGCTAGAGAACCCGGAAAACCCTCGAAGCACAGGWGAGAACCAACAAACAACTCTACTCACATATGACACCGAGCTTAGCAGGACTCGAACTAGCTGGGTCCCATTGGTGAGAGGTGAGTGCTCTCACCGCTACACCACCCATGCTTCCCAATATGGTTTATGCTTTTAGTATGGCAGAATATAAACATATCTGTATAGTGTAGTTAAATTTCATTAGAGGTGTTCAACTCACATGGTCCCACCAGCACTCACAGAAATTCGGCAGTTGATGTTCCAGCGTATATTCAAGAATCTCAAATAAAACACTAATTACAGTACACAACCACCAATCCCGGATCATCAGCGCCTGCAGAAGAATAGCAAACACGTTACATCAAACAAGAATTTTGGAAATTATTTATTAATATTCAAATACTTTTTAAAAATATTTTTTCTTCGAGTATTATACTCGTATTTAACTTTTTCAGCATTCCTGATCTCTAGCCAATATCATTTAGAATAGTTTTATATACGTACTGTACATAATGAACACAAGTCTAATACTCATTCAGAAAAAAGTATGTCAAAATTACCTTTTGAATGAAATAGAAAACGTGTGTGCATGCTGTGTGCAGTTATAAAGCATGTGGGGTTGGCAGAACATGAGAGAAGTGTTTAGGAGAAGCATGACGCGTAGTGGAGTGCTTCTCGACACTTCTCAAGTGTTCTGCCAATCCCCAAGTGCTTTATAACTGCACACAGCACAGCAAGCAAGCTTTTTATTTCTTTTATAAAATGCAAAGAGCCTGTGCATGCTGTGTGCTCTCATAAAGCACTYGCTCCCGACCAATCAGAATGCCGAATCTTCAATATTCAAAAGATAATAATAATTTGAAAATTCGATTAACTTGGCTTGTAGGTTCTTGTTTATAGCGCAAACAGAAGGTAAGTCATTAATATTACATATTCCTTGCACGAAAAGTTGTTTTTGCATTACAGTTGCATATATGCTTGGCTTTTGTATATGCCAGGCTTTGAAGATTCGTTTTCAATAATGAATGTTCGAATCAAACAATGAAATCAAGAATCCAAAAATAAAGTCATTAATGACCTCTACGTGTTCACGCTTGAGGTAGTTTGATTGTAAATTAAGCAGCGTACAGTACGTACCTTGGCCCACCATCCAATCAAGTGGCAGAACACAAAAAAGTCACATTTTTCCTGAACAAAAACAAAACCAATTAAATATCAGTCAACGAATGACAAGCATTTTATAGCTCCGAAACGAATTGCAGTTAAAGGGGATGAAAATCAATGAAAATTGGAAATGACTTGTTTAAACTTATCTATATCGCCCAGATAGTAGCCAAGCAACATGTTTCCTTCACAGTCAAAAGTGGCGGGGGAAAATTATCAATTTTATTCAGCATCTAAATTGTGAGTAAATGACGTCATTTACTCAACCCTATTGTTCTTTTCGCTTTTGGCCCAAAATATCTCAACTGCAAGTGGCTCACAGGCTAAAATTTT